ATTTGTTCATCAATTTTGGTTTCTACAGTATCTTCATTTGGGGTATTCAATTTTCTCTATACACTTTATTTAATTAAGCTTCACAACTTTGCTGTGAGGTGGTATTATGTCCCTTCTACGAACATGGAAACTAAAGCCCAGAGAAGGTGACAGACATAAAATGATAGACAGTCTGAGAGGAAAGGTATGGATTTCAGAAAAATCCAGCAGTTTAAATATATTTCAAATGACTATATAGACATGAAACCAATTATTATAATTGAACTTGACAAGTATGCAACCCTTGTTTGTTCCATTTAATAGACCATTGGACTATGGAGATTTCTTTCTTCTCTCATAGTACATACATTGCCTCTGATTTTAATCATGAAATCCCTTTAGGTTCTCCCTTTACCTAAGCTGTAATGACTAAGTGGGATCCAGTTTCTAATCCTCATGGAAATTGGTATGAAAACATTAATGACCCAAATTTTAAATGTATTGGGAGGCCCATTTCTTTCATCTCCATGTATACTTTATAAAGGAGGTAAGATATGTGTGTGTCTGTTACACGGCAAGGAAGAAAAAAAATCTCAGTAAAGACTCATTTGTAGAGATTCTTGGATATTTCTGGCAGAGTTTTTCTCCCCAAGGAGAAACCTAACCTACACAGTGGACACGTCTACATGAGACGCCCACTGTGCAGTTAAGGTGAGGTCATTCAGTACTTACATAACCAAGTACTAAATGACTGCACAGTAACTGGCATTACTGCGCAGTACCATCCTGGCAAGGTTGACTGGTAATGCTTACTGCACAGTAGCTTATTACTATGGCACAGTGATTTGTTACTACTGTGCAGTAGCTTTGCATCATGGTTTGTGCACAGCAACGCTATTCCACAGTAGTAATGAGCTACTGTGCAGTAAGTGTCTCATTTAGACACACCAAGTATCTTTAAAAACTTAATAGATGAGCCCAGGGATATTGTGGGTTTCCTGGATAGCTCCTGAAAAATATGGTTGGATTAGAAATCCCCCAGAGTCGGTTGTTCTTCATGGTAACGTGGGGTAGGTAAATGGAAAATGTAATGCAGTAAAGATAAAAGAACCGAGGTTGTTTAATTTATTCAGCACAATTCCTGAACTTGCTATCTAACATTCCTTCACATAATCACTTTGGTACCCTTCTTGCTCACTTAGGCCTTTTGACTTCTAATTCATTCCACTAGGAAAACAAATTCATAATGTAAGTACCATATAGAGTACTACAAAAAGGAGAGGCTTGGAGGTGAGAATAACAAAATAACTATAATTTTGCTTTGCTATATGTCCTTCAGTAATATCCATGGGACCTGTAAGAATGTGTCAAGAAGCATAAACTGTTAAAATCAAACAAGGTGTATGATACTGAAAGAAAATGTGAAAAATTTCAGTAGAGAGACTTCATGCACTACTCATAACATGAAGCTGAAAGTGCAGTCTTGTTTTTAAAATTACATTTATATTTAGGCAAAACAGCTAAAATCCAGGTGCCACTATGAAGAACTGGAAAAATGTGAGAATTGATGTACTCAAATCAAAGCATACAGTAAAGCAATTTTACTTATACCACTTTTTGAACTGAAGAATCTACTCAGGACCATTTCATGCTTTGAATAAAGAAATTATTAAACATTAATAAAGGAGTGATTGTATGCATACATATACAATTTCAACCTCAAATGTATTATTATGAAGGCATAAAAATACTTTTTAGGCAGTAAATAAGGTTGTGACATTGGTTTAAATTAGGTCACTGCTCCAGAGCCATGAAGGTCAGTTAAAAAAATTGCTAAGGTCAATTTTATTTGTGGAAATCTCTGATGATATAGACCTAGCATGACTTATTTGATATCACATAATCTTTCCCTCTCCACAAAGATAACATTCAAGACATGCCAAGAAGCAAAACGAATATGGCTAGGGCAGGCTACACTCCAGCCAAGAGACTCTTAGGGCACTGTTCTATTTGGTGTAGTATAGAATAGATCTTTACCTGTTATAATGGGTGTGGAGAGCCATTTCACTCCCCTTAGGTGCCAGAGAATAGGAAAAATAGATTAACTATGCTTCCCCCCCTCACCCTCACTTTTCTCCCTCAGCAGAGGAAAGCAAGCTTCAGAATTCAGGATTCCTGGCATCAGGTCCGGGACTCCTCTGATTATCAATGCAAAGTTTCTCAATAGGTACATGAAGCCGTTTACCACACCCAGTGTATGTTCATGCGACTTACTTTAAGCCACTTAAATGTAGACTGGGAGCTGCACTAGGAGCTGCGTGGGGAGCCCAATTTAAGTTGATCAGGGTGTGGGGAGAGCCTGGCAGGATAGGGAAGCTAGATGATCCAGGGGTGGTGTTTCTTGTAGGGTTACCATACGTCTGGGTTTTCCCAGACATGTCCACTTTTTGGACCCTCCTGTTTCTGTTTGGGCAGCTTTTTAAATATCAGCAAATGTCTGGGATTTTGCTCTGCCCTGCCTTTTCCCCCAGCACTTCTGTCTTGCCCAAGCAAGGACATGATTGGGGCTGGGAGCAGTGGGAAAAAGTGATGGGAGGCTGGGCACCAAGTGCTTTGCACATGGGCCCTGGCAGCTACAGGCAGATGAGAGGGAGAGACAGCAAGAGAGAGAGAGAGAGAGAGCGCTGTGTGGGCAGCAGGACTAGGGGGCCTGTGGGTCAGAAGCAAGGGGTATCAGCAGGGATGGGGGGCTGCAGGTTGGGAGTGAAGGGCACCAGCATGGTCTGGGGGGCAGGGTACAGTGGGTCAGGAGTGAGAGGCAGCAGCAGGGCTGGGGGGCTGTGTCTTGGGAGTGAGGGGCAGGGGTAGGGCACGGGCATATCATTGCCCCTCTCCCCACAATCATACACCCCTTCCCTCTCTCTTCCCTGTCCCCCAGCATTCCTCCCCTCACCCCCACAGGTGTCTTCTTTTTTGAAACTGGAAATATGGTAACCCTGGTTTGGCAGGTCTATAGGGGGAGCAGGGATGAGGGAGAAGGGGGGCTAAAAATAGCCTAGTCAGGGTCAGAGGGGTTGAAATAGCACAGCTGGGTTTTCCCAGGCCCAAGATGGCACTGAATGCATGCAGGCATTTGTGAGATTGGGCTAACCAGATACCAACTTAAATTAGCATATCTCCTCAGGTGCATTAACTTAGATCAGATGTGCCATTTTTGGGCAATTTAGGCCCACTGAATGCCTGCACAATTGGGCATTTAGATCAACCTAACCCTGGTCAAGGCAATTTAAGTGTAAAGCCTATATATACCCTATGGCTTCCATGAACACTCTGGAGCTTAGAGTCAAAGCAACTATGGTATAATTAGCAGGGACCCTGGTTTTCCCTGCCAAAAAACTGCAAATTCTCTGATTAAAAAAAATTGCAAATTCTATAGTAAAAAACCCTAAATCCATGATTAGGGTGAAAGCCCCCTCACTCCTCCTCCCTGGGGCCCTGTGGCTATGCATTGTGGCCCCAGGTCCCAAGACCTATGCACCACCCAGCTGGGCAGCATCCTCAGCCCTCCCAATTCCTTCCCTCCTTCTCTATGAGGGCCTCAATCCCCCCTCCTGCTTACCTGAGGGAGCTGCTCTCCAGGCTGCCTGGGGGCCATGTGCATATACATCCATATGGCCCCTTCCTGACCACCTTCCTCCCACTTCCTCCCAGCCCCCTGCAGGCTGGAACTCTGGCAGCATGCAGAGCTCTTTGGAAAACTGCAAAATCCATTGGTTTCTCTGGTATAATGAGAAGTTCATGTTTTCCTCTGGTAAAGGGGAAAATCCATAGTTTTCTCTGTTTTTCCATAAGAAGCAGAAAACCTGGATCCCTGATAATCAGCCATCTGTCCTATTTTGGGCTCAGCTACATAAATGGGAAAAATAAACTGAGTGAGAGGACGAGTCCTAAAATGCCCTGTTGCCTACTATGACAGACCTTGGTTCCACAATGTTAGCCTAACCTGGGCCATAAATAGTGTTTTATGACTATAAGTTTGGTTGCTCTATCTAACATAAGACTGTTCTAAGAAAAAGGAAAAGAACTTAGCTATCTCCTAGATCTTTAGCTTTTTCAGCTGGGTTAGTAGAAGAAAATTGTCTTTTTTTTTTTTTTTTTTCAATTTGGTTTTAGAATTTCCTTTTCTAACATTCAGCTCAGTACAGCTGAAAGACGTATGAGACATGGTCAACTTGTATGAATTAGAGAATAAGAAAAGGAACCAGGGGAAAACATTTCAAATGTTAGAGAGGTTTTCTTTATTGTTCTTTTTCTTTTCTGTCTCTCCCTACTCCCTCTCAGTTTTTACACTGAAATATATATAAAGTGTGTTAAATACTTAGCTCAATTCCCATGATTTTTTAAAATAATGGAGACAATAAGTAGTATGCAATATCTTGGTTTCATAGTCCCTTAAAAAACTTGTCATTTATAGATCCAACTGTTTAAACACTATTTACTTGCTCAGTCACAGCAAATACAGTAAATTATGGTAAAATTGTACATTTTACAGAGCATCATTTACATATTTTAAGGGGTCTACTCAATACTTTGAATATGTATATGCAATCTATTTCATAGTCAATGAGAACTGAATCCATGAATCCAAAGGGAGAATTGTCTTTTCTTTTTGTTGCTCAGTGATTTATATCATAAATGCTTTGTTAGACATATTCACTGGTATAGTATAGTTATACAATACTTTGTAATGCAAAATATATCCTGTGTTATGGGGAAATAAAATAATTTCCCTTGTGGACTGTAAACCAGTCAAATTAAATCTTGCTGCACCTTTGGAATATTTTCTAGATAGAGCTGGGATCCTGTTCCCATTGCTGAGAGTAAGACTTTTGCTATTGATCGCAAAAAGAGCAAGTTTAAAATACTTCTAAAAGCTGCCTCTATGCTGTATACTTTTTTCTAGATGTTTTTCTCCCTTGCCTGCCCACTGGCCCCAGAATGACATATCATTTTGTTCATACCTTGAAAATTTTGCACATAATCTCATAAACTGAAAAGGTTTTTTCAGCTCGTGTCCAATCCCAGGTGGTAACCTTGGAAAAACAAACAAACAAACAAAATAAGTAATGCCATTTGTCTTTGTTTCTAAGATACATTCTAAAGCACTTCTCCCTCTCACCAAGATCTTTTCTTTACCTCCTGCATGTAAAAAGAAGCACCTTGAGAGAAACACAAGACTTAAACAGAAATGCGAAGACTATTTTGTTGCATGGAGGCAGTATTGCGAAAACACATTGCCTTAGAGCTCAAAGAGAGATTATATCTCCATGAGTGACCTGCAGACAGTGGCCTTTGTTTAAGGGGAACAACCTGTTACAATGGAGTAACCTGCATCTCGTGGGGCATTCAGCTCAGTGTGTTGGCTGATAAACAGGAGTTATGGATTTTTATCCCGTTTCCTGGTTTAGCTTTTGTGACTCCTTTTGTTCTTTTGGGTTTACTGCTTATTTGCTCGCACACCTTAGCCCCTTTTCTTGTCTTTTATATTCTAATTCTTTCTTCTTCTTAGATAGCTCTTGTTCCACATCCTTTCATGGCATCTGATGAAGTAAGCTTCAGATCACAAAAACTTTTGCTATAGCACACACACATACTTTGGTTAGTTTATAAGGTACAAATCTACCCTGCCTTCTACTTGACTTCAAACTAACATGGCTAACTACATCTCTCTGCATTCATAGACTTCATAGATTTCATAGACATTAGGTCTGGAAGGGACCTCAGAAGATCATCGAGTCCCGCCTCCTGCCCAGGGGCAGGAAGTCAGCTGCGGTCATAGGATCCCAGTAAGATAAACGTCTAATTGACTCTAAAAGGAGTCCAGAATAGGCGCCTGCACTACCTCTGGTGGCAATCTGTTCCAGGTCTTGGGGGCTCAGACAGTAAAGAAGTTTTTCCTTATGTCCAGCCTGAAACGGTATTGAAGGAGTTTGTGATCGTTGGACCTTGTCATCCCATGGGGCACTCTGGTGAACAGGTGTTCCCCCGGATCCTGATGTACACCCCTTATCTATTTATAGGCAGCCACCAGGTCCCCCCTGAGCCTGCACTTTTCCAGGCTGAAGAGTCCTATGGCTCTCAACCTCTTCTCATAAGGCCTGTTCTCCTGCCCTCTGATCATATAATTTTATTCTGCTTCAAATACTGAACTATGAATAGAACTCCTGTATCTCCAAAAAGATCATTCCAAGAACTTAAAACTTCCTTTTATTCATATTAAATTTAAATGAACCATATTGCCCCAAAACAGTATGATTCAAAAGAAGGGGTAATTGGTAAGTGAGTAAGAAAAATGCAGGAAGAAGCAACTAAGTACTTAGCCTGGAGAAAAGAAAAGCAGGATATGATAGCTATCTATATATAACCTCCAAGGAAACTGTATGAAAAAGAAGAATGGAATTATTCAGAGTCCCATAAGATGCAAGAACAAGGACTGAGTAAAGGACTGAAAAAAATCAAAACTACGTGTTCAGAAAAAGTTCTTAACAGTTAAAAGAGCTGGATGTGGAACAGACTCCAAAAGAAGGTGATTATAGCATCAGTATTCCTGATGCACAAGGCCACAAAAAAAGGAAAGAACAAATTTATTTGATCTTGAAGACTCAATGATACAAGCTACCTGGAAAATATATATGAGAAAATATGATATGGGAAGAATTTCTCCCCTAATTTCCTGAAACGATAGCTGTGCAAGAGATGCTTGAGATTACTGAGGAGCTTTTGTGGGAAGAGGTATGGAAGTACAGGAAATCTGTAAAAAGGAACCTTTAATAAATGTTTACTTGGTGTCCTTTTCCTTTTCCACATTTTTACGCTATTATGTTTGGCTTTTGTCACAGTGATTTATAAACACATTAAACATTATTAAAACTTCTTTCTGGGTGTTTGTTGGTACCATTTTAACTTTCTGCTCGGCAATTCCTTTCTCCATGTATCAAAATTGCTAATGAATAACATTGCATCTTTACAGTTAATTTGATCATGGAGTTCAGGATTACAAAACCAAGATTTTATTATTTTTTATTGACAATCTGGAAAATTTTTTGCTGAAAGAAAAATGTTTTTACTGACATGTGTATTTACTGTTTTTAAAAAAGAATCTTGAATTAGCAGCCTTGTGTGACTGTAGCAGAGGTTTTACACCCTGCTGCCCCACCACAAAGATCCCCTACTCACCCCACACCCTGCTGCCCCCCAGCCTTACCCCTGCCAGCCCTACTCCTCCCCTGTCCTGGCACAGAATCCCACCCACTGCCTCTCCTTCTCCAAGCCCAAAGCTCTGTCCCAGCCAGGTTGCCTCCCACTCTGGACCTTTAATATGAGCAGCTATTGAAGGGAAGAGACAGGCATGAAGACCAAGGGGCAGTGAGCAGCAATGTTGTGACAAAAGCTCAGTGCCTGCATAGTACTGCAATTCCACTCGGATAGAATGTGGCAATGCTATGCTCCTTTTGATTTTCAGCCATGCTCCACCTTTTGTCTTGCCCTGGAGCTTAAAACTGTGGTGGCTCCATGTTTTCACAGAAGGTTAAATGTTTTTAGAGACCTTTATGGATAGGCATTTTTAAGGTATTCTTTTTCATGGAATATCTGTAAAGTTATGGACAGTTGGCAATCTTAATGGAGATGCATGGCAATTGACGTAATAACATTAAGTATATTTTTTAGCATATACATTTTTTTAAGAGAGACCCTACAAAGATTGCCTAAGTCCATTATCTTAATAAAATAAAATTCAACAATAAAGAGCTCAAAAAGTAATTTTTTTTTTTTGCTTTTTTGATAGAGTTATAATTGTTGGCCATCATCCTCATATATATATGTATTCTTTCCTCTTATAAGTATTCTATTTCTGGGAAGAGAGAAATTATATACCATTTATCAATAAATCATATCTCTCACACAGTAGCCCTATACAGAAACAAGGAATTACAGGAAATATAATCATTTCATGATATGGCCAGATAGAGGCATAAAGAGGAGTCCCCACTTCTTCTTCCTTATCTAAGTATAGGGTAGAGCAGGGGTTTTCAACCTTTTTTTAACAAGTGTACCTCTACGGTATCAAAGTTTCAGCTCATGTACTCCTTTATATTCTATCTTATTTTTAAGGGAAGAGGCAGATCAAGGCCCCCATGGTGAGGGAGGGAGTGGGGCAGAGGCAAGGGCAGGCATTGCATAGGCAGAGGGAGAAAAAATTATTTGGGGTGGCTGAGCGTGCATGCACATCCCCGTCCCCAGCAGGTAAGTCTGTGAAGGAAGGGGCGGAGAGAGGAGCAAGAACTGAGAGGGGCAGACTGAGTCCCCCATGGTGAGGGAGGGAGTCGGACACCTGATCCTTGGATCTCCACTTGTCTCACCACCAGGCCCAGCTGGGGCCCCACTCATGCCCCTGCTCCTGCCTTACTCTCTCCTTCACTGCAGGGGCCTTGATCTGCACCCCCTCCCCAGTGGTGAGGGAGATAGTGGGGCTGGGAATCAAGACACTCACAGTGCAGGAGGGAGTGGAGCAGGGACAAATCATTCATCCCTGTCCTTGCCCCACTCCCTCCTGCACTGTGGGGTTTATTCCACAGCTGGGCCCAGATGGGACCCCATTCATGGTGAATGGGAACCCAGCTGGGCTGGGTTGTGGAACAATTGGAGCCTGGAGGTTTGTCCAGAGGTGCAGCATGGGGGAGCTCATCCAGATGCATGGCGTGCAATTGTAAAAAAAACTTTTTTACAGTTACATCACTCACTACAATGTCTAGAAATACAGTCTGACCCTTTATAATTAAAACTAGGATGGGAAATAAGATCTTATTGTTTAATAAGATTTTAGGGTGCAGGATAATTTTTTTAAAAAGCAGCAAGAAAAGTACTTACACAAAGAAGAAGTCAAAACACAAAGAAACTAAATTAAGGCCATGCCTGCTTTCTTGAATTCTGTTAGGAGGTGTGTTCTTGTCTAAATTAAAAAAAATGAGCAGATAGCACACACTAAGCAAGTATGTGTACCCCTCATATAGCACACCATCGCATGCCAAAGACACGTTTTTTTAGGCATTCCTTGTAAGAATACTAGCAGCACATCTCTATAAAGAAACTAACTTAATTCAAGGAGTTTACAGTGTAGACCCCCTTCCCCAAAAAAACATAAAAAGCGCATGCACTAAACATACTGTGTGGACAAAAAGACTGTGGATACAGTATTTTTAGAGGTATCTTTACAGTCATTCTCTTTGGGTCTGCTCTTTAAGGCAATGGTTTTCAAATGGTGTTCTATGGAATCCTGGGGTTTTGTGATAGGTCATCAGAGATTGTGATGGGTCATTATTCTGCAAAGAAATTGGGGATAACGGCAGAGTGGACCAGGAGGTGGTATGGCACTACTGCCATCTGGATGGCTGGATCAATGTTAGTTCCTATAGCCCTGAGGAGCCAGGGGTGGGGCAGAAGAAGTGGTATGAAAGGCTTCCATGACTTTAGGAATTTAAAAACCACTGCTTTAGGACAGAGGAATCATTGGGAAATATGGCTGGAAGGCACCTCATGAGGTCATCTTTTATTTGTTTTTTCCACCACTTTAATTTTTAATCTCATTTTACATTTTAACTTTTCCATATTTGCACTGCCTCAGAGTCAATGGGCAGAATGTGATGCCTGTTCTCACGTGGGTGAGATTTTGTGCTACACAGAACTTGCAAGACTTAGAAAGAAGTCTTGAGGTTTTGGTGGCTTCTCTCAAATTATACCAGTTTCCTGGAGGCTTGGAATCTTTACTGTGATAGCATTGTGTGATTCAGCTTCCAGTCTCTCTCTCCCTCGTACCATGAACATTATGTGCTTCAGAAGGCATCCTCAGAAGTGAGGCTTCTGACAGCCATTTGCAGTGACTGTACCAAAGAATTTCCCCTGTGGATTTCTCTCTGTTTCTTAGACCATTTATGCTTTAATCTGGTATAAAAAGGGACAGAATGGCACTGGGTGCATCTAAAAATTCACATTAGCATAGTTTACTGCAAAGTAAGCTTGTGCATGGTGGTTCAGGGCAGGGGTGGATCAGGTGGATCAGGGCAGGGGCCTGGGACCTGCCCCTCCCTTGCATCTCTTTCCAAGTTCCCAGACCCTTTATCAGTGAGCCAGGGCCAGGAGCTCCCGGCAGGTAGCTCAGGGGGATACTGTCCCTGCCCTGGCAGCAGGCAGCCATAGGAAACCAGGAGACGGCTGTCTTCTGATTGGGTGCCCCCTGCCTGCTCTTGAGCTAGCACTCAGGGGGATCCTAGAGCTCCCCCCAGTGGTGGCAGGGGCCCATTGCAGGGCTGCAGGAAAGTTGGAGCAAAGAGCAGCAAATCTTCTGCCTAATCCCTGCACATATAGACACCTGCCCCAAAATGCTTAATCCAGAGTAGTTCACACCAAATTTAGGTCAGAGTAAATGCATGTGTAGACAGGCCCACTGTGAATCACTGGATGAAGAACAATGGACTATTGAAGTCAGGAGCTATTCTATAAAATTAAGATTAAAATTTGTCCCTGAAACTTTTTAAAATTAACACATGGTTGTTGTATTTTGCAAAGAGCAGTGTCTTCCATACTTTTTCACATAAATCTGTGCTTAACCCTATTAAAACAATTGAATCTTTTTGCTGAAGTCCCGATTTGTCAAAGCACCAAATCATGTGTAGAGCTGCCATTATGTACCGGGTTGTTGATGTTGTTTCACTTTTTAAATATTTTTTAAGATTGTTACATTTGGTCTGTTTTTTGATTAATGAACTGTGCGTGCCCACCTAAATGTGTGAATGTGACAACTCCTTCATTGCCATCTCTACCAAATTTATACACCAAATAGTGTTGCTGGTCCCTGCTGCAAGATGACTTCTTAATGCCTGATGGTGTGTAATTTACAGATTATTCCAAACCTAAAAATATAATTGATTTTTTTCCTGCTTCCCACCCCAACAATTAATTTTCTACCCTAATGTTCGCCCCCATAACAGTTCTGACTCTCCTGTCTGACATCTGGTGATAACTCAGATCATAAATTAATCATGTATCTTCTCTTCCTCCATATCCTTCCCTGCCTCCATATCCATCCAATCCCTAATGTAAAAGATCCATTTGTTTGGAAGAAGAGTAAGGGGAAGCAGAGATGTTCATTTCTTTTTTATCTCTTTCCCAGACTAAAGCTCATTTCAGCCTCTAAAAGAAGAGGAAGAACTTTGGTGCCTTCTCACCATATCTCTGATTAATTTTTCTCAGGATGGAAGGCAGCCAATTGGGGCTGAGGGTTCACCATGCAGGTGCAGGCTTGAGCCTTTTGCATCATCTTAGTAGGAGCCAAAATCCTATTACTGGTGAAGAAATCATGGAAATTAGCAACACTGAATAGGCTTAACTTTAATGCATATTCATGCAAATACTAAAAAAAATTATTTTAAAGGGATGTTGGCATGTGGTGAAATGCTTGCCAGATAAATAAATTTAGAGCAAGTTTACTTCCAACTATAACTGTGCAGCCTCCCAGTTCAGACACCTGTATAAATCTAACCTACAGCAGAAGGGATATCAATATGGCTTTCAAAACCTGCTTGAGATGCAGGAAAAATTAGCCTTGTGTTCTGTGCTGCCTTGGCAAGCCTGTTACTGGTACCTGAACTAAGCTGTGTAAAGAGATTTTGGTTTTACCTATATTGCCACCTGAATCTCACTCCCGAAACATAATTAAGGATGTTGTTGAGTTTGGACTCGAGCAACTTGCCACTTAATGTCAGTAACACGTTCTGCTAGCTAAATTCAAATTCAGTTATTGCTTAGTCTACTTAATTATATTCCACACATCTTCCTTTTTGGTGCTTCCACATATAAAAAACTTCCTTCAGGTTATAATGAAATCTGAAGAGTGAGTTGTTGTTCTGAAAACTACATTTCCACAGCATGCACCAGCTCTGGTATTTCCCAAGTGTACAACAATTGTAATTTGAAAGGATGAACAAATGCAGCCAGTTTGTTTCAGGCTTGTTTTCTCTTCCAAACCTAGTAGGCAAAAACCTGTGCACTTCCTTTCTCACTTTCCTAAGCTTTCCAGGTAACTGGAGAGAAAAGTACAATTGCTGTATAAGATCGACAATTGTTGATACTCCTGATCAACAATGTAATGTTTCTTTTACTGGTTATTCCTCATCTCTTTTCACTACTGCAAATCAAAATAATCCTTGTATGAATTGCATAGAATATGCTTAATTAAAAATATTTATTAGTGTGAGTATGAGAAAAATACTTACTGGTGGTGCTATAAATTTATATAGAGAAGAACCTCTCAGCGCTAGAAACTTTGGTGTGTACATTCGGTCCTGAAGGGAGTCTTGTTCCCGTTCTTCTGTCCAGCCCATGTAGACTATCTGACAGAAAAATCAATAGTGTTGACAAATTCTACATGCATTTTATCCAATAGATTCATTACATATCCTTTGTGCAAATGTACCGGTGCCATTTAGCTAAAAATCCCAATTTGTCGATTTAAAATGACATCTTGATTGTAAAATGATAAGTAAACTATTTTATATTATAAGAGGCTGTTCGTAACAATTTGGGGGAAAAAAGTCAGAACAGATTTTTTTATTATGCCAACAAAAATAAAAATAAAAAATATACTCAAGCAGATGTCAGAGGTTTATCATCTCATTAAAGGCTTGCTGGAGTAATTGTACATATGCTAACAGTTCACATCAGAGCAATTTAATGCAAGCAAAGGGTAAGTAACAAGGAAACTAGTATAATATCAGATAATAAGTTCAACTGCTCATGCATATAATACTAGGTGGTGGTTTGCCACTGTCTGTGGAAACAAGGATTTCAGTATAAGAAAGCCTTGTTTAGTATTTTTATTTATATATGTTCATCCCAGAAATTTAGATTAGCTTTCCAGCATTATTTCCTAATAAGGTATAACTACGTTGAGGACTTTTTTGATTCAATGTTTGCTCTAGAAGACACAACTGAAGGGTATGAAAGTGTTGAGAGTTAAACATAGTAGCTGTCCCCTCCTCCAACCACTTGACCAATGATTCCACCATAACATGAATAAAAGAAACAGACTGGAACCCAAATATTATTCTTGCATAGTGAAACTGGCCTCTTATTTAGGATATGAACTATAAAGTTTGGGGTCTATCTTCAGGTAGCTTCTTTATGTCCACATTTTTAATGAACTTTAACGTAGCACCTTACCAATACCTCCTTCTCCTTAGAAATTGATTTACTTGAGTGCACATAAGTCCATGTTGAGATCTAATTAGTCATAAACTCATTTATATCGTGTGTGTGAATTAAGGCCTAAAATAGTAGAAACCTGAGTATTTACCAACACCAGTATGTGAAGTTATGGAAGACTGTAGCAGGCTCAAGCAATCCACCTATTGTCAAAGGCCTGCTAGTGGATAGACCTCCCTAGTGGTTGGACCCACAACCCTTGCTTTTTACTTTGCCTCCTATCTCCCTCCTGCCATGACTTGGTCTTTAAGGGTTTTTAATTAGGGAGGGTGTTGGAAGAGATCGGGGTAGCCCCTTTCTAAGTGACTTCACTTTGTGTGCTGTCCTCTGGGCTTCTCTGTCCTAAACTCTCTGGGGTAGGACCCACCTTTTAAAGGCAGCTCCAGTCAAGCCTTCAGGGCAATAATCATGACCTCTAGCCACATCCACAATCATGCCTATGCCTTGCAGATGTTATCAGTCATCATTCTTGGGAGGTGCCTTGCCTACACCGGCCCCCAAGCACTTACTGGGATTTCGGCCTTCCCAGGTTCCCCCTCACCTTTTTTTAACTGGGGTCCCTCAGCCTCGCTCCATAGCACCAGGGCCCAGCTTATGATTCAGGGCTACTGACCCTGTTTTTTTCCCCTCATGGGCTATGGCCCCTCGCCCTCTTGGCCCCTAACTGTCTCCGTCTTACACCCCACCCTGGTAGCATACAAAGACTTGCTGCTCCCTGCCAGCACCCCACTGTGGCCTCTGAACTGCCTCTACAGCCACTGGGGTAAATTTAAGATAAAAAGCTACTGCTTCAATTAGAACTTCTTCCCTCTCTGGGTAAAATACAGCAAAGGACACAAAAGAAATGCTGCTTTAACAGAAATCTTCTCACTCTGATTAAACAGAACACCACAAGAGTGGGGGAGCCGCCCTGGCATGAGACTCCTAACGAGCTCTCCGTGTCTGGGCCATGGAGGTTCCTGGTGCCTGTAACGCAAGAAGTGCTGGGTCTCTGCCTTTCCTCAGCAGCATCTTCTCACTATCTGTCTTGCTCCCCCACCCCCACTTCCAGCTTCAGGCAGGGGGTTTTATATGTCCAACAGCCCCTTCCCACTGCCTCATCTCATGCCTGTTCAGGGGTTTTAAATCTCTTAATTAAAGGGCAACCTCTGTTCCTGCTACTCCACTCTCTTAAAGGGGCATGATCCCAACTGCCTGATGAAGGTCCTTCCCTTTCACACCGACTACTCTGGTCCCTGCTTCTCTCTTTCTCTTTC